CTTCATGGGACTAGATCAAAAAATAAGTATGAACTATAAACTTCTTTCTGGTGCTTGGAGATGCAATGCATATGAGGAGGGAGGAATCAAAGAAGGCAGGGTTTTGAGCCTGAGTAATTGAGATATTAGTAGTGATGTCCCAATCACTAATTGCCACCAAAGGCAGTAAGAGAATAGCAGTGGAGGTTGGAATAGTTTGGGTAGTTCTTAACATCTGTTCAGTTTAACAGAGTTAAATTGCCAGGTTCTCTAGGAGGTAAGTACAGAGAAGGCAAGAGTCCCTGTCTTTGGAGAGCTTAAAATTTAGTTGGGAGGCAGAGGCAGGAACTGCAGCCCAAGTAATGATAATATATGGAGAATATAAGTACCATAAAATAGGAACAAAGAAAGTATTAAGAGTGTTCAGAGGAGGAGGCTATCTTATTTAATTCAGGATATCAGGAGAGATTTGTGCATCTTGAAAGGCAAGTAAAAATTTGGCCAATAGAGTTGATCAGAAGGGAGATTATTCACAGCAAAGAGGTGAAGATGAAAACTCATGGTCCATGCTTGGGCAACATTAATGGGCCAGATAGGCTGAAATATGGGGGATCATGACTAAGAAAAGTGGCGAGAAGTAAGACTCGAAAAGTAGAGTGGAGTGTGGTGTGATGGCTCTTGAACGCTAAATTGGTAGATATCAGGAGTTCGTTGACAATAATGGAGGGGAAGGAGGGAATGACCAGAAGCATACTTTAGCAACACTACACTGACTTTGTTATGTTGGATGTATTGGAACAGGGAGAAAGTGGAGCTAAAGAAACTATGGGGTATGGTGCTAGTCTAGGCAGGAGATAGGGAGTCTGAATCAGGATGGTGCGAAGTAAGTGCGGGAGGCATAGCAGGAAAAGATACAGTCTTTCTGCTATGAGAACTACTCATAGGCTAAGTAAAAAAAGGTAAAAAAAAAAAAAAAAAAAGTAGTCAAAGAAAGGATCTCTTGGGCTACCTTAGTCCCTGTCTCTTCTCGTTTCCCCAGCTCCAGGGGAACCTCTTTCTGGAAGCTCCTTTCTTGTTAACCCATCAGTTACTTCTCAGGGCTGCTCCAGCATTTGTGTTGAAACCTCCTTAGAACATTCTTTGTACTGTAATTATTTGTGTATAAGTCAGAATCACGCTTCTCATCTTTTTATTCCCTCAGTCTTACAAGACACCTTGCATATTATAAATATGCAGAAATTGTTTGGGAAATGGAATAATTGTAACTGGAAGGCCTTCAGAGGGAAAGCTGATCCGAAGTTGAAAAAACCAAGTATATTTACCCTGGAAGTGGGGTTGGGTACAAAACAGGTCTGAAGGAATCAGTGGGAAGGGCCAGAAATTGGTCTACAATAGAACTTTCACCAGTTTAAAATCACTGGAGAAATGATTTAATTCCCAGGTTTTCTTAACATTTATGTAGAAAGCCTTTTTTTTTTTTTTTAGTGTAGTGTTCATATTGTTATTATAGACTTAATTTTAATAAGGATTTCTATTTTTCATTAAGGACAAAAAGATGAGTTGAGAAACTAATCCTGTGATAAATTTCAGATTAAAATCATAATCTTTGTGATTAAAACAGTCATCTCTAAACTTTTGGTCATACATTTCTATCAGTAAAAATAACAATTTATAAAAATTACATACACGTATTATTCTGCCAAGATTTCATATAATAAAACAAAAAATACATTAAATTGTGCTATTTAAAAATAATTTTTATGCTATTAAATATACACGATTCCTTTTCCACCAGCATTATTAATGATTTTTTTAGTGAGTGCCATGTGATTAAAAATACCTTGCTGTTTAAATCTCTTAGTGTAACTAATTGACCCAGCAATTGGATGGTCTGTTTCTCAATCTTTGATTTGATTTCAGTTTTTTTTTTTTTTTCCCCCTTTGTCTTTTTTCGTGTCCGGCAACGGATCACAACCCTCAGTGTCGCGCCCGCACCTCGCTCAGCCAGTGAGCGGGAACAGGTCTGTATGTGGGATCCGAACCCTCGGCGGGAGCGCCACCGTGCTCCCAAGCGGCGCACTGTAGCAGTGCGCCACCGGGCCGGCCCTGATTTCAGTTTTGATGGCTGTAGAAGTACAAAAGATACTTCACAAAGATTTGTAGATTCAGATGGAAGAATCGCATCATCACTTCTGCATAATATGTTGATCCCTTCCACCAACCATGCTAAATTTTTGTTATTGAAGTTCAGGGTATATTTCCATTTTCCATGGCCTTAAATCACCTATTCTTACAAATTTAATCAGAAGGTAGTGTTTTATATTTTTAACAAACAGGCTTAAGACCTAAAGTTCTAAAGTTCTTCATCTGGAAGATTTTTAAACAGGTTAGGAAATATTTCCAAGTTTTTAGAATATGTACGTAGGGGTTTTTCCAGGATGCTTGGTGTCATTTTTGTCAGTTAAAATTACATAACAATGGAAACGTTTCATTCATCTGTTCTCATAACTGTTCTTTCCCCACACTTTTTTTTTTCTTTTAAAGCAGTTACTTTTCTCACTCTGATGACTTTTTGATTTACATCAGCATTGGTTTTTACCTCCTAATCTGGCCAAGACCTTGCTCTATATAGAAGCTGCAGCTGTGCCATTTTCTTGTTGTTCACTTGTGTTGGCATCAATAGTATTTCCTCTAATTGTAGTTTCTTTAAAACTGCTTGTCGCTTTTATGACAGTGAGATTAATTAAAGCTAGATAAAATAATCCATTATTTTACATCACTCGTCTCAGATAAACCAGATACATCACAATATCTAATGGTGAACAAGAGAGTGAGGGCACTTTGGCAGCCCTCTGGGGGGCTGCGGGGTGAAGTGGGGGGGACCTTTCTGTTTTCCCTAAGGATGTATATGTACCCTATGTGACATCTGACAGTTCAACATTTATACCAAATGAGGGTATTAGCATCAATTTGTATGTTAAACATGGTTTGATTTCTCTTAAAATATAGACATTCTGACTATTTCTGTGTCCTTAGTGGATCATCTTGTACTTTGAAAACCACAGCTTTAGACTGGCCAAGACATTCATAAAAATCAAAATAGCTAGATGGTAGATTAGCAAATCGCGGGCCTCCAAACTTGGCTTGAATGTTGACTCCACTAGGTAACCACCTGCTACTGAGCTATTTACTTAAGCTATCATAAGCCTTAGTTATGTTGTCTGTAAAATGGTACTAACAGTTCTGCCTATCTGCTAGGATGGTTGTGAAAACGAAAGAAGACTGTGCGTGTATTGCTTTAAGCCTGGTGCCTGACACCCTCCTAACATTTAGCTCTCATGGGCTAAGCACTGTAAATGCACGATTTCATAAACTGCTGTCCACCTGGAGGTAAGTTGTTTTGACTCCAGGCAAACACCCTGAGAGTGGAGTGCGCCTGTTTGAGGTTTCTTTTTGCAAACCTTGATATGCAAAGTGACAGTGGAGACAGTGCAGCTCTGCAGTTGTTCTTTCTTTTGTTATTCAGAGGCATTCTTAGTGCCTTGGTGGTATCCTTGTATGAAGCATTAGCATAGTATTACGGGTCACTTTTTATAAAGGTGCTAATAACTTTTTCTAATACTTCAGGAATAGTCCAGAAACGGATACCTTAAAACATCTCCTAGGACAGAAAGGTGAGCACAGACCCTGAGCCTGAATGATGACTGCTGAATCCAGGGAAGCCACAGGTCTGTCCCCCCAGGCTGTACAGGAGAAGGATGGGATCGTGATAGTGAAGGTAGAAGAGGAAGATGAGGAAGACCAGATGTGGGGGCAGGATTCCAGCCTGCAGGAGACGCCTCCTCCTGACCCGGAGATATTCCGCCAACGTTTTAGGCGCTTCTGTTACCAGAACACTTTTGGGCCTCGAGAGGCTCTGAGTCGACTGAAGGAACTTTGTCATCAGTGGCTGCGACCAGAGATAAACACCAAGGAGCAGATCCTGGAACTGCTGGTGCTGGAACAGTTCCTTTCCATTCTGCCTAAGGAGCTCCAGGCCTGGCTGCAGGAATACCGCCCCGATAGTGGAGAGGAGGCTGTGACTCTGCTGGAAGACTTGGAGCTTGATTTATCAGGGCAGCAGGTAAAAAGAGGTGAAACCTAATATGTGTGGGCAGGGTGTGGACTTTGAGACTAGCGCAAGGAGAAAGTTACTGATTTAAAACTAGAAGTTAGTAGTCTTTGTATGCTTCTGCCTGTTCTCAGGTATTGAAAAGTGTTCTGGCCTTCTCCCTGCATCCACTAGCATAGTTATGGTCTTTTCTTTAATATTTTAATTCCTATTTAAAAAGTGATTTACCCTCAAGCCTAACCTGTTTGTCTTCAGGTCCCAGGTCAAGTTCATGGACCTGAGATGCTCTCAAGGGGTGTGGTGCCTCTGGATCCAGTTCAGGAGTCGACGAGTTTCGACCTTCATCATGAGGCCACCCAGTCCCATTTCAAGCATTCTTCTCGGAAACCCCGCCTCTTACAGTCACGGGGTAAGAAGTAAGGTTTCATTGGGAGAGAAGTAGTAAATGGTTCAGGATGGGGGCGCCCTCTCTGTTGCTAAGTGCCAGTGATGAAAAAGCAGGCATATTCTTGTTATTATACCTTGTCATTGTTACTAAATATAGGGGAAGTATAACTTAGAGACCAGTCTCAGGAGTTAATTGATGTTACTAAGGAGATAAATGAACTGTGCATAATGAACTAGATGGACATTACATTTTTTTT